TGGAAGGATAACTGAATCCCTCCAGTGGAATTATAAACCCCCAGGAAGGATAATTGAATCCCTCCAGTGGAATTATAAACCCCTTGGAAGGATAACTGAATCCCTCCAGTGGAATTATAAACCCCTAGGAAATATATCTGAATCCCTCCAGTGGAATTATAAACCCCTAGGAAGGATAACTGAATACCTCCAGTGGAATGTTAATCACCCTGCGTAAAGTTTTGAATTATAGAAAGCATTTTTTCAAACCCCTCCAGTGAAAAAGAATTCCCTCCTGTGGTCTCCAGTGGAGTCAAAATCTTACTACGAACTTCCGTGACTCCCTCATAACTCCTATTATTGAAGAACTATTGAGAAGAATATAGAAATGTTTTAAATTTCTAATATGTAACCTGATAAAGGAATTGAGTCTTTGCCACAAACTTATATTTTCTAATCCCTATATCTTTAAAACCTGATGATTTAAACACTTAACATTTCAAACTTAGAGTATTTGATCTGACAGAATTCATAGTTTGAAATATAAGGTCTACAACATTGTGTAGGAAAGATAAAGGGATTAGAAAATTAGAGTTTGTGACAAAGACTCAATTCGTTTACTTATACAATTAAAACTAGAAGAGCTACGAGGTTACAAAGTCATACCAGTACTGTTGCATAAATTTGACCTATTCTTTCTGTCTGGTTCAGTGTGTGGGGGGGAAGGGGGGAGGGTTCTAGTATTGGATTACTGCTGGGCACACGTCAGTGAATTTTCCAATTATCTAATTAACGAAATACACGTATATAATAAGTTACTGTTTGCTTTTAACCTAATAAGGAATTGAGTCTTTTCTTTGACACAAACACAAATATTGTAATTCATTTATCTTTGCAACCTGATGAATGCTTTGCAGAACTTTGAAATGTCTGAGCAAAGCTTAAAAATTCTTCACTGTCCAAACTTTTGAATTGTTATTCTCAAGATCAAGTATTGATTTGCATTTTATGCAGACCTAAGGATGAATTTAATTCATAATGAATATTTGGTGGTGGTCAATGTCATGGGAGGGGGAGGCTTAAGATATTTTCCAGGTGGGGGAAATAATTAAAAAAGGTGTAATCCCCATCTTGCCAAAATTCAACCCCCCCCCCCCCCCTCCCTGGAATGTAAAACATGGAATTTGGTTATTATTATTGAAAATTATTTGTAGTAATAGATGAAAGATGTCGAAATTTTTTACAGGAAAAATTGTTCAACTTTAAGCAGTCATAAACCTTTCCTGGGGTTATGCTAGTTGTGAAAACAAAGTTAAAAGTGAAAAGTTTAGCAGTTTTACGTTTATTGGATACAAACAGACAAATAGACAAGCAACGTATAAATAGATATTCTGAACATATTAAGATATATTTCCCTTAAAAATTTGCAATTACTAATTAAACGTCCATAACGGCATCAATAACTCATGGTTTTTGAAAGTTTTCGAAAAGGTTTGCCTAGTACATTTTCTGGGAATTTAAGCCTGGCACAAATATGTTTATTTCATGTTGAGAAGCCATTCTTACTCTTACATTCTTACTCGGGAAATTTGACATTTTCAATTCCAGGTTCTGCACAGAAGAGAAAAATGAGAGGAATCTTTTTGTCCCTGTAGGTTTCAGGTTAATGTTAATCCCAGGTATAGAGTACAAAAACCATTCCACATTTTAATTTAGAAATTTTAAAATCTTAAAGTTTTGGCACCTCCACATTTGAGAAAAGGAACAGAAATGGGAGCCTTCTTATTAGTTTTTGGATTTAGAAACTAGTTTTTGAACGTTCGTTATACGGCAGCCTGGTATTGTTTAAGCGTGCAAATCATTCTTTTCCACGTTTTTATCTATTTATGATGTTTTGTAGGTTATTAGGGTATTAGTTGTAGGTTAAAGATAGTTAACGAGGACCATCAGCAGCTAGAGCTGTTAAAGTATTAGTAACTACTAGCTGAAGTACCCGGCGTTGCCCGTGGAATTTAAAATTGAAAATCAAATTTAAAAAAATAGATTTTTGAAGACATTTTGTATTCGATATTTATCCTTTGTTACCCCTGGGGTGCTCAAGGGTTCCCTCAAAAAATGTCAGCCAACTCGGTCCAGCCATTTGGTCAGCTATAGCTAACATTATACAAATGTAAATGAGCGAAAAACCTTTTTTTATAGATTAACGAGAAAGTCCAATTTAACTATGGAAAACAAAGATTAATAAAAGCAATGAACTTTCTTAAATTTCGAATCAAGTAATTGATCTTCCTAATTTGTTTAAACACTATAAAGCGAGCCACGTGAAACTAACAACAACGAAGTTTATCCTGTCTCTGCATTGGACTATTTTCAGTCTTTGGATCTCTCAAATTCAAAATCTGTCAAAAATTACGTCACAGATCTTATAAACTGAAAAATTTAAAATAGAGAGCAAATACTAAATATATACATTTAATGGGTAAAAATCGGTGCTAAAGTTAAAAATCACTGGACTTTTTACCAGTACCTTTAGTTTAGCGTGGAGCAGTTTACCGGCCCTATTAACCAGTACCTTTAGTTTAGCGTGGAGCAGTTTACCGGCCCTATTTCCTTAATCCTTTAAGTTGAGTATAACTGATGTTAAGAAGGTTCTGTTAGAATAAATTAGAATTGTAGATTAAATTGCCTTAACCTCAATCCCCAGTTCTATAAGAGAACAAAATGGAATGAGCATTTAACTGTTTCAGCCTTTCATTAATGTATTTGGATTAAAACAAGGACTGAGATCTTGTATTTATCATTTATATAGAGTAATTATCTCTATTTGTCTGTCTGTTTGTAAGGATGTCAGATCATAACTCATGAACCCCTAGACAGATTGATTACACAGCTCTAACTAAATCTTTATTATCCCTTTATCTTTGCAACCTGAGGCCGTGATTTAACAGCTTCCGCTTGGGTCGTAATTCCTTAAACCCAGCTTTAAGACCCAACTCTGACGACAGCTAGCTTGTGTCACGTGATTGATAGTTACGAGATCTTAGGCTCGACTTACAGAATTAGGCCCAATGAAAATAAACCCAACCATGGTTGGTTTTTGTGGAGAATAATGCTTAATGTTGAGTCTTGTTCTCATCAAAACCTGAAATGCGCCAATTCCAAGCATGAAAATCCGCCTAATACAATGTTAAACTGGTTTTCGGAACACCTCTGTGGAGAATTAGATGTAATTTAAATCCAAAAGCTCAAGCCGTAAATAAGGCCCAACGACTGAGTCGTTTTTTTAGATTTTTTAAATCGCCGACTTTAATGATCTACGCCTTTAACTTTCAAATAATTAAACATTTGATATATCAGAATTTATATTTTGAAATATCACCGGCTGCAAAGGAGTCTATGCCACAAAATTTAATTTGATAATCCTTATATTTATTAGGTTCCAAAGCTATAGAGAATATACATTTTTTTGCAAAACTTTCGTTTTTTTGCATTTTCGCATTTCCTATCTCGCACAAATTTCGCATTTTTTCGCAAATCGGATTAAAGCAAAATTTCGCGAGCGAACAAAATGCGAAAAAATGCAAAGTTTTCCCAAAACGATTTTCCTTTTTTACTGGAAACCCTAACTTTGAGGCAAGTTATCAATTTCTTTAAACTAAACAAGGATTCCAAAAGATTGAATGAGCCTCCCCCCCCCTTACCTTTGTTTACTCTCCATTGGTCTTCCCCTATAAACTTGCCTGATACTAAAAATGTCGTCTCCTGAGATAAATAGATAAAACCTCGTCTGATGTCACTGATTATTGTGGTGAGAGTGACGTCATATGAGGAGACGACATTTTACGTACATTGGAGTGCATCCAGAGTAACCAACCTTATTAAAGAACCTTGACCAGTACACGGCTGATCCTGTAACTTCAGATAGGGTACATATCAGATATCAGGAAACCCAGGATCAGAAAACCCTGGATCAGGAAACCCAGGATCAGGAAACCCTGGATCAGGAAACCCAGGATCAGGAAACCCTGGATCAGGAAACCCATGATTAGGAAACCCAGGATCAGGAAACCCTGGATCAGGAAACCCAGGATCAGAAAACCCAGGATCAGGAAACCCAGGATCAGAAAACCCAGGATCAGGAAACCCAGGATCAGGGAACCCAGGACCAGGAATCCCAGGACATTTGAGCCTTTTTATACATAGTATTCAAAATTGTTTTTTTTAAGCATAGTGCTTCATTTCGTTACTATTTTATAGTTTTACTATTATATAATGTACAAAAACAAATTATCCCAGATAAAGTAACATGAGATGCTAACTTTGTATATTTAAAATTGAATTTAGGTGAAGGCCTGGTCCATGGCTTTTGGGTTTGTTATAAGAATATATCTAATATTATAAACCTATTTATATTGAAAACATGTTTCTTCTTCTATAATTTGATCAGGCCAAAGTTTATTATTTCCCCGATATCTGGCAAATTTCTCCTCTAGATTATAAAGGTGAAGGAGAGAAGGTAATTTCGGCCTTTGTTACAACATCCAGGCTATAAGTAAGTAGTAAGTAAGTAATATTTATTGCACAATAACATGTTAACATATTAAAGTGGCAGGAGATATACAATTTGCAGGATTGCGGTTTACAACGTAGATCTCATAATACAGTCTTTAAAACAAATTATACATTAACAAGAAAATAATCCATTGGTAATTAATATATTTTTCATAACATGAATAGAATGTACAAGGTGGCGAACTGATGTGCTGGATGGCTGAAAAAGAGTCTCGATTATTAGCTATATAATATTATCAAACAACACTGACCAGGGCACAGGTTTAATCTATAGGAGAGATAGTTAATCTGCGTAGACTAAGTTGAACCACATCCCTTTAGAATAAGCAGGCGCACAAGAGAACTGGTTGAACCAGCGGTACATGGTACATCGTTTACTATCAACCATCATTAACGATTAACCATCGTTAACAATCAACCACTTGTTAACTATCCACCGTCGCGTTGCTAATGGCCGAAACATTAAAAAACGTTGTAATATTGTTAATATAATTAATGGAACGAAACTATTTTGAAAGGATCAAACCAGCCATAGGCTGAATTTAAAGAATTTGAGCTGCGGCTAAAATTTAAGCCAGGGCTCAAATATGGTTGGTTCCACTCAAAATTGTAATCAGTTTTTCAAGATTCAAGCCGGCGCTTAATTAAAACCGGTTTTACGCAGATTTGAGACGCGGCTCAAATTCATTTAATTCGGACTCAGGCCTCGTTATCGAACATGGAACGATAGATTTTAAAAATGAAGGAAGTGCCCAGATATACCTGTTAAGAATGATGCCAAATTAATCAAATATCAATCAGAGAAAAATGGGAAATTCGATAGGAATTGAGTCTTTGTCACAAACTCTGATTTTCCAATCCCTGTATCATTGCAACCAAATGTTGTAGATATTTCAAACTTTTATCCTGTAAAATAAATTGATCTAAGTTAAAAATATCAAAGTTTTAAATCATTAGGTTGCAAAGATATAAGTATTTCGAAAATTAAGTTTGTGGCAAAGACTTAATTCCGTTGAGAAAATTTTGTTTATTTTATCATTCAATATAAAGCTAGGGTTTCCAACCGGAATTTCATTGCACGGAATTGTGCTATAATTGCAAACAAGGAAGCAATTAGATATTCGCGGAATTGCGCGGAATTGCGTACAACGGAATTGCTTTGTAAAGGCTTTTCCATCTAAAAATCAATAAGTTTGAACTGTGACTGACAAATTTATTGAAACGCAAACACAAGAAAGTTGCGTTTATTGCGCGCAATTATTAAGGAATTGCGCGCAAGTAAAATCCACTTGCGTTGGAAACAAAACGGTACTGCAATTTCCAATTGCAGAAATTTACTAGGGGTGAGAAAATTCTAATCTTCTCTCCATTTCTTTGTAGCGCCCCCCCCCCCCCATGCTTTAGGGAGGAGCAATTTTTCAGTTTTGAGTCTTTGCCCCATGGCCATGGCTCACCCCTATATCCGTCCCTGCCCTATATGCCGTCATACAGTGTAACTGCCGTGAGTATAACTACCAGGCAGCAAGACTGTAAGAGAGAATAAAACAGATTTCTTTAGAAATATTGACTGTGTGAACTTTTTTATGCTATATTATTCACAAGATATGTCCTCGTTGAAATTTTATTTGCGGATTTGCATCAGGAAGTAAATGTGCATTTGCTCGCATTTGCAGTCGAGATGCAAATATAAGATTATTCTGCATTCCAGATTCGTGTCTTTCATTCTTATTCATCCATAGTATGTGATTGAATAAATTTCATCGGTTGATGTTTTCTCATGTTTTTATGCTTAACACACAACAATGAGCGAAAAATTGTATATCCGGCTGTGCCTATATTCCTCTACTGAGTCCATAACGCATAGGGAAACTGGAAAACTTATTTACGGCACTAGCTAAGGAGGGAGGGTTGGGTGCTCTCAGGATGTTGGAGTTGCTCCCAGGGTTTGGGATTAATATGTGAAAATCTATCCGTCCTTTAAAAAGGGTACTTTAAAACCGAAAATTAAAAAAAAGGCTCTGCTACCCCTTTTCTCACTGTCTTTTTTCAGATATTTGGAGGGGAATGAATCGCAAATTTCAGTCCAAGTAGCCTGTGGCGATCATATAGTTCTGATTAGCATAACTGACGACATTTCTTTTAGCTAATACATTAAATATTATTGGTAAATGTAAACAAAAAATAACTTTTTTATTTGGATACATTTTAACTAGGTTTTATTTGAGCTGGTCTTATACATCTCAATAAAAAATGCGTATAAATACATCAGTCCCAAAGTAACAATTGCTCTATGTCAAAGGAATTGAGTCTTTCCCACAAATTCAATTTTTGTAATCCTTATATCTTTGCAACCTGATGATTTAAACCTTTAATATTTCAAACTTACATTATTTAATCTAACATCATTCATAGTTTTAAATAATAAAGGTCTACGACATTGGGTTGCAACGATATTGAAATTAGAAAATCAGAGTTTGTGACAAAAACTCAATTCCTTTAGAGAAAAACATAGTGTTGAATGCAAACGCATCTTTTACGGGCAACAATCAATTGAACATATTATTTTTAAAAAAACTATAGAAGTAGAAGTAACCTGCCATTTTTGAAAATCTATTTGCAATTAAGCAGAGGTATGTTTCCATCCTTTATGGGTGTATTGATGCGAATCCAATAACCAATAGCAATTAGGAATTTAGTTTAGTACATACATGTGATATATTTGGTATATTTGGTGTGTGTACATATTTAATATTTAATTAATTATCTATACTAGGTGTTCTTTAAAAGAGAATAAGGTCTACACTCTACAGACTCTTTTGAAATCGGATTTTCAAGGTTGAGGCAAATTTTGATAATGATAATGATATCGGCGTAAAATGTTGGTCTTGTAAAGGTTGAGTTTAAAGGGAGTGTTCGCGAAAAAATGAAAGAGGGTAGGCTTACGGTGAAAAATAAGCGCTTTTGATCGCTTCTTATCTTCCTTCAATCTGTTGCGTCTCTAAGGAAAAAATTATTAAAAACTACTCATACTGAAGAACGTTGCGTCCATACAATTTCAGAAAGTTGAAACATTCAACTCGGATTGTAAAAAAAGTCAATTTAATTCCAAACAAATCAATTTATGTAAATTTGGATTTTACTTCACCAACTGCTTTCAATGATTCTCTTAAGCTCTAGTTCAAAACGAGTAATTATATTCAAAGAGATGAATTAAAATCAGAAATCTATCACAAGAAAGAAAAAATATATTCTAAATAACCTCATTTAAATATTTAAGAATCCATCTTAAACCTTTAAACGTTAAAAGCATAAAACGTAATTAAATCTTATTCTGAATTCTACAAATTGATTGAGGGGTGAATATAATAGCAATTCTGCAAAGTTATTTTACCCAGGAAATTATTTTTATTTTTATAGTTTTCAGTAGATGTAAATATCTGAGGCACAGCTGAGGCACGGTGGGGTATTTTAAGGGGTATTTTATGGTGTCCTGTTTCATGTTGAGAATGGACAAAATGAATATATTCTGATAATCTTTTCATTTACAAACACTATATCAATTGTAGCTTGCATTGGTTTATAATAATTTTAATTCATAATCATTTTTCCTGTTTATAAATTTATCCTTGAGTGGATCCTGTAATCCCGCAATATACTTAGATGTCGTCTTTGTTACAGCGAGCTATTTTGGAAGATAAATATATATTTTATACTAAAAGCGCAAGAAAGCACAGGGGTTTTGGTATAATCTAAATATGTAAATAGATTCTAACAGCCTTGTAGAAAATATTTACGGGCTCCAGCAGCACCCCAAATCCTTGATTTAGTCAGAGTAGCGTGTTGAAAACTCCTATTTTAATAGCGGGATTTAAACAACTTTAAGACTTCTCTCAAAAAAAATTCTTAAGCAGCCAAGCCTTTTTTGACATAAATAAGAAGTTTATGGAATAAATTTATTTTTGGCTGATCCTCCTCTAATAACCCACTGTGGGGGAGGAACATTTAGAGACAACGCACAGTGGGTCAGAATTAGGAACATTTACAGACAACGCACAGTGGGTCAGAACTAGGAACATTTAGAGACAACGCACAGTGGATCAGAACTGGAACATTTAGAGACAACGCATAGTGGGTCAGAACTAGAACATTTAGAGAGAACTCACAGTGGGTCAGAACTGGAACATTTAGAGACAACGCACAGTGGGTCAGAACTAGAACATTTAGAGAGAACTCACAGTGGGTCAGAACTGGAACATTTAGAGACAACGCACAGTGGGTCAGAACTAGGAACATTTAGAGACAACGCACAGTGATTCAGAACTAGGCACATTTAGGGACAACGCACAGTGGGTCAGAACTAGGAACATTTAGAGACAACGCACAGTGGGTCAGAACTAGGAACATTTAGAGACAACTCACAGTGGGTCAGAACTAGGAATATTTAGAGACAACGCACAGTGGGTCAGAACTAGGCACATTTAGGGACAACGCACAGTGGGTCAGAACTAGGAACATTTAGAAACGCACAGTGGGTCAGAACTAGGAACATTTAGAGACAACTCACAGTGGGTCAGAACTAGGAATATTTAGAGACAACGCACAGTGGGTCAGAACTGG